TGGCTGCTGAAGACCCCAGCTAGATTTGGCAAGAGGCGGCTGTTGACTGTGCTGATTTGTGCTTGTGGCGTGACATTGTTTTGTACTCCTGCTCCTTGGGTTTTATGGTCACAGTTTAAGTAACATTAAGTAGCAGAAAGTCAGCAGCTGTGTCTTAAGTTGCAGTCTGGAAAATGTTGGCTAATAGACTTCGTATATTCAGCAAATCCATTGGTGAGGCTGTAACTTTCAGGAGAATATGTGCAATGTTGCTTTAACTGGTGTCTCCTCTTAAAGAAGCAGCTTTTGTTTCTTTTCTGGAATACAGCGTTAAAAGTTAGCTAGCTGAATTTCAGACTATAATAAAGAGGGTTTCAGGTGCAGGCTAGGAGAGGAGACTCTGGGTGCTGAGCTAAATCACACAATGAACCATACTAATTAAGCGCACTGTGGAAGCCACAGGTTTTCGCTATACCCACTTGCCAAATTAAGTAAGGCATCAGCTGACTTATAGGCATCCATTAGGGGAAAACTTGTATGAGGTGCTGGAGAGGCTTGGATGTGGTAGGTCCCATACAAATGAACACTCCTCGTATAATTCAGACTGTCCAGTCTGATAGCAGGCTTTCAGTCTCTAGCTACCCACTGACTATCACAGGCCGAGAACATATTCCAGATCAGGACTAGAGAATTTCCCTTGTACAACCATGCATAGTAGTATGGTGACCAGACAGCAAATGTGAAAAATCGGAATCGCGGGGGAGGGGGTTAATAGGAGAAATATATATAAGAAAAAGACCAAAAAATCGGGACTGTCCCTATAAAATTGGGACATCTGGTCACCCTACATAGTAGGGGCACGTTTTCAAGGCTTCATGACTCTGCTGAGGAAAAAGTTGTCCTCTTTCCGTGGGCTTCATGTTGTATAGGGCCTATATTTCTCCTCCGAACTCCTAGCTAATGTTTTTGCCTCTTTAAAGTTCATATCTGCCAGTTCCTAGCTGGCTGGACATGTGTGCACCAGCTATATCTGTCTTTCAGAACTGGCCGTCTGCATCACTATCAGCTTTGCCTGTACCTGCCCTGAAGTAGTGGGACTGGCTTAGGACACTGAGGCTGTCTCGCCTATATCCTGCTTTGTTGTCAAGCACTTAGTATGTGCTAAGTCAGACTCTGCCCTTGAGTGGGAGATCAGTGAAGAGCACTGTGTGTATTATCCTAAAACTCTAGATTAACTTTTACATCTATAGCAAACAGGAGGTGTGAGGAGCCAAGTGGCAGTCAAACTGCACCTTGCAGGTATTGTGTGCAACCTTTTTGACCTTAATGATCAAATAAAATTGTTAAATATCACAAGTCTCTCTCTGTCAACTTTAATACAAACAGAACAATTTACATGGTAGACAGAGAACTTCACGCTCCATTCCAAGAAGATAAAGGTTAACCGAGTCTAGCCATCCATCAAGAAACTTCTATTTATTGTTCAGCACTGTACATAAGGGGGTGAGGAAGGACTTAATAGCCATTTAGTGCCTGTAAATTAGTGTAAACACTGCCTCACCTGGAAATTTGAATACCATAGAACATTTCAAACATTTTGTGTAACATAACCGGTTTGCTTCCCGGTTTCAGTGAATTCTGAAAGCTCATGTCTATTTGGGGATCTATTCCATTACTTTTCATGTTGGATTATTACAGTAGTATCTATAGCAGGGGTAGGCAACCTATGGCACACGTGCCGAAGGCGGCACGCAAGCTGATTTTCAGTGGCACTCACAGTGCCCGGGTCCTGGCCATCAGTCCGGGGGGCTCTGCAATTTAATTTAATTTTAAATGAAGCTTCTTAAA